ACCCTCAACCACTGCGCCACCAGGGAAGCCCATAACCATCCATTTTTAAATGCAGGTTTCTCAAGAATATATGAGACATGATGAATTTTCACTACATAATGAAATAATAAATTTGCTATGTAACTGGTAAAATTAAGAACACTCTTAACAGGACGAAATCACAATACACACATTTTGAGCATTCAAAACAAATACAACTGTCAAATTTATCTTTAAAATCTTCCTAACAAACATACAAGTACATTTTAAGAAAAGGAATCAGTACAGGAATCAGTAGCCTTTAAAAAGCAGGCTACTCAGAGTGCTAAAAATATGCCTTATGTATATTTCTCATAATCATATCTGTTACTGAGGAATAGGGTGAACTTCAAATGTAAAAATATCTTAGAAAAAATATCATATAAAAAACCACAATTCTTTTCCTTAAGGTCTCAGAAAAAAAGAGATGTATCAATATGTCAGTAATATTTAACATATAAGTTTTTACATTTTGTATAGCAGGAATATACATAAAGGAACTCTAACCAGAATTTTAGGAGTAAAATTAAACATAGTATTCAAGTTCTGTCTGAAAGGGTATTCATAATTTAATAAATGTTGTAACCACACAGGCATTTTAACAAAAATCAAACAGAAAACCCTGTCAGAAGGACACTGCTAACATAGTCAACACTGATAAAAGAGGGAAGACTACCAATTCTAATAAGCAGTGGTAACATTTCAGTGTCCAAAGAGGCTAATATAAAAAAAAAAAGAAAAAAAGTGAGACAGGATAAAATTTTTAAATCCCTTCAATCATATCCTGTAAAAAGCTATCCAATTGGGGCTTCCCTGGTGGCGCAGTGGTTGAGGGTCTGCTTGCCGATGCAGGGGACACGGGTTCGTGCCCCGGTCCGGGAGGATCCCGCATGCCGCGGAGAGGCTGGGCCCGTGAGCCATGGCCGCTGAGCCTGCATGTCCGGAGCCTGTGCTCCACAACGGGAGAGGCCACAGCAGTGAGAGGCCCGCGCACCGCAAAAAAAAAAAAAAGCTATCCAATCAATTTTCAATCTGCCTCTCACTTATTAGATTTAAATAATAGAAGATGAAAAGAGGTGTTTTTAAAAACTGAATTAAAAATAAGTTCCTTTTGATTTTTTAACTTGTTATTTAACTGAATCTGACTCTCTTTGAATTCAGAATTACACAGATGTTCCACTGCAAGCACCAGTTTATGTTAACCTCTAAATGACTATAAAACAATCTCTGCAAATACAACTTTTGTTCATTATATAATAAATCACTGCCATATATTTTTGTTACAATTTAAATGACATGATCTATTTTCATCCACAGCTATTTTAGTCACCATATCTTAACAGTCATCAGGGCAAAAAAGGAAGATAACATTATAGTTGCCAGAGGTACCATGACATAAAAGGAACAAGGCTCAATTAAGAGAGAGACCAATCTCGGACTTCCCTGGTGGTGCAGTGGTTGAGAATCCGCCTGCCAACGCAGGGGACACGGGTTTGAGCCCTGGTCTGGGAAGATCCCACATGCCACAAAGCAACTAAAGTCCGTGTGCCACAACTACTGAGCCTGCACTCTAGAGCCCGTGTGCCACAACTACTGAGCCTGCATGCCACAACTACTGAAGCCCACGCACCTAGACCCTGTGCTCTGCAACGAGAAGCCACCGCAATGAGAAGCCCACGCACCGCAAAGAAGAGTAGCCCCCGCTCACCACAACTAGAGAAAGCCTGCACGTAGCAACGAAGACCCAATGCAGCCAAAAATAAATAAACAAAATTAAAAAAAAAGAGAGAGAGAGCCCAATCTGATTCCCACCTCACCTTCACCATGGACCACTTGGGTTAACACGGTAAAGGTACACTTTCGAAAGTTTTATTTCTTTTTCAAAGATATAAAACACACACACACATATACACACACAAACTATGTAAACTACCCTGCATAATGACTGACACAGAAAAATTTTGCTGCTAACATTTAGGTGGTAGTACAGCACAGTGGCTTAGGAGTGTAACTACTTTGTTAAATCCCAACTCTACCACTTATTTAGCTGCGTGACCATGGACCAATTATTTAATCTCTCTAATCCTCAGTTTAATTTTAAATATAAACTAGAACTATTAATGGATCTTACAAGATATAATGTACTTAGTAGAGTTTTTGGTCCACCGTAAACACAAGAAATGTTTGATATTATTATATGATCTTAATTAGCATTTAAGGTATTAAAAAATGTATTAGCTACCCTCTCATATACTCTGTATTGGCAAAAGATAATTTCCTACATTCTCAAGGGACCAGTGTCGTAGGGACCAATTAATCATATCCAACTACTTTTTTGCATATTTTATATAACAACTGATCAAACTACTTCTTAAACAGAAGTTAATGTAATACAACATAAGGAAGAAATATTACTTCTCTTAAAAATTTTATTTATTTATTTTATTTTTGGCTGCGTTGGGTCCTCACCACAACGCGCGGGCTTTCTCTAGTTGTGGCGAGTGGGGACTACTCTTCGTTGTGGTGCACGGGCTTCTCATTGCAGTGGCTTCTCTTGTTGCGGAGCACGGACTCTAGGCACACAGGCTTCAGTAGTTGTGGCATGTAGGCTCAGTAGTTGTGGCTCGCAGGCTCAGTAGTTGTGGTACACGGGCCTAGCTGCTCTGCGGCATGTGGGATCTTCCCAGACCAGGGCTTGAACCCGGGTCCCCTGCATTGGCAGGCAGACTCTTAACCACTGCGCTACCAGGGAAGCCCCAGAAATATTACTTTTAAAAAAGCAATAAACTATCAGCCAGAAAACAATAAAAAATGACTTACTATTAGAGGTGAAAAAAGAAATATTTTTAACTATACAAGTATACTGTACTTATAGAAATGCAAGAAAAAAACAGAAGAAAATTATATAAATATAAAAAATAGGCAAATATTCAAAGACAAGTGGAGATATTTTTTTTTAAATGGCGATGGTTAAAAAAATTTTAGGCATAAAAAATGGAAAACAAAATCTGTACAGGGACAGGAAAAAGCAGAAATTAAAATGAAAAATGAAACTGTGATGTGGAGGACACTTGAGAGCTCTTAGAATGTAGAGTTTAAAAGAAAAAGAGAGAAATGAAAACAATACAGGGGCATTTTCTAAAAACCCATACCTAGCATCTTTTTGTTTCTACTTTATACATTAGATCCCCAGAATTTATTCATCTTATAACTGGAAATTTGTATTCTTTGAACAACATTGCCTCCATTTCCCTACCCCAGCCCCAGTCCCTGGTAACCACCATCCTACTCTCTTTTTTTTTTTTGCCGTACCGCCCAGCATGCAGGATCTTACTTCCCTCACCAGGGATTGAACCTGTGCCCCTGCCGTGGAAGCGAGGAGTCTTAACCACTGGACTACCAGGGAAGTCCCCAGCATCTTACTTAATGATGAGAGACTGAATGCTTCCTCTCTAAAACTGGGAACAAAGCATGATGTTCAAACTTACCAATCTTATTCAACATCATATTAGAAGTCCTAGTCAGTACAGTAAGGCAGGAAAAACAAAAGCTGAACAAACTGAAAAGGAAGAAATAAAACTATCTCTATATTATGAACAATCTGACTTTCTACAAAGAAAATCACAAGGAAAACCACCAAAAAAACTGCTATAACTAATTTGTGAGTTTACCAAGGTCTTGAATACAATATCAATATATAAAAATCAATTGTGTTTCTATATACTAGCAGTAAACAACTAGAAACCAAAATTTTAAAACCAGTACCATTTACAACTACAAAAAAAAAACTTAGGTTAAGATACAAAACCAAAGGCAGTATCAATAAAAGAAAAAAAATGATAAATCAAACTTGATCAGATTTTAAAGGTTTTACTTTGCAACAGACACTGTTAGAAACTAAAAAGGAAAGCTACAGACTAAGAGAAAATATCTGCAAATCATATATCTGACAAAGGACTCAAAAGATTCACAAAACTCAACAGAAAGAAAACAAACACCTTCTACAAATTGTAACAACTAAAAACACAAGAACAAAAACAAAACCCACGCATTTCTGTATGCTGGGATTTACACGTGTAATTGTCCTTTATATTTATATTACTATAATTATCTGTCACAGTGTGGAAATACAGTTAGACAAAAGATCTGAACAGACACTTCACAAAAGGAGACGTATGGATGGCAAGTAACTACATAAAAAGATAATCATCATAATCTGTTATTAGGGAAATGTAAATTCAAAACACAAGATATGATTACAAAACCTACAAGAATAGCCTTAATACAGACAACTGACAATACCAAGAGCTGACAAGGATTTGGAACTACTGGAACGCTCATATAATGCTGGTGAAGATGCAAAATAACACCAATCACAAATATTTCCAGAAAATAGAAGAGGAGAGCGGAACTTTTCAGATATAATAATTTATGCCATACATACACATTGAAAAATATCTTTTGAGTAGTATATACTATACCTTGTGGGGTGCAAGAATCCTCTGCCTGAATTTTTCAATTGTTTCTTGACCCATAGAAGACCAAGCACTGACAAATGCTTCTGCTTTGTCTTGTCTAAGATGAATGTTCTCTAACTGCTGCTGCAAAGCTGCTGGCTTCACATTGTAATAGACTGCCTATTAAAGAGGAAAAAAAAATTATATATATCCCTACTGTTCATACAGAGACCTTGAACTGTAATCAAATACAACATTATTTTAAATGATTTAAATTTTAAAAATTTCATATTTCTGCTGCAGAAATTTTTTTATTATTTTACAAATAAGAATATACTCAACCAAGGGCTGGAAGATTCAGAATTAAATGGCCTAAATTATTCAAGCTAAACTGCTTCATTTTTGCCTGTGGTTTAAGTAATACTAAATCCACTTAAGAGAAAAACTTCTTTGCTTTGGCTATGTAAATGGTATCCTAATTAAAAGTTCATTTCCTTATTTCACTTCATTATTTCAAATAAGTACACAGTGGTTTTGTTTCCCAACTATCAAAAATTTTCCAAGAAACACTTTCTCAAAACCACATTCATCTACCAACTTCCTAGGTAATATATGATAAAAAACTGAAAACTTTTTTATGGTGATACCTGTTGTTTTTTACATTATTCTGAAAAAACTTCCTCATAAACCCCAGGCTGCTCTGCCCTATTCAGTTATCCTTTTCTTTTACTGAAGGTTCACCAAGGATAAGAACCATAATCAACTTTATGATCTGTAACCTGTATAAGGCTGCATGTAGTAGGTGCCTAGCAGCTTGTCCTCCTAACGGTATCTGTTCACTAGAATGCCCAGAAAGCTACAGTATTGTTTATTGTGAAACAAACTTTTACTTCACAAGTATTCTACTTAATCAAACAACAGGAATTTATTAAGAATCTATTTTTATAGCCACTATGGAGAACAGTATGGAGGTTCCTTAAAAAACTAAAAATAGAATCATATGACCCAGCAATCCCACTACTGGGCATATACTCTGAGAAAACCATAATTCAAAAAGAGTCATGTACCACAATGTTCATTGCAGCACTATTTACAACAGCCAGGAAATGGAAGCAACCTAAGTGTCCACTGACCAATGAATGGATAAAGAAGATGTGGCACATATATACAACAGAATATTACTCAGCCATAAAAAGAAACAAAATTGAGTCATTTGTAGTGAGGTGGATGGACCTAGAGTCTGTCATACAGAGTGAAGTAAGTCAGAAAGAGAAAAACAAATACTGTATGCTAACCCATATATATGGAATCTTAAAAAAAAGGTTCTGATGAACCTAGGGGCAGGACAGGAATAAAGATGCAGACATAGAGAATGGACTTGAGGACACGGGGAGGGGGAAGGGTAAGCTGGGACGAAGTGAGAGAGTAACACTGACATATATACACTACCAAGTGTAAAATAGCTAGTGGGAAGCAGCTGCATAGCACAGGGAGATCAGCTCAGTGCTTTGTGACCACCTAGAGGGGTGGGATAGGGAGGGTGGGAGGGAGACGCAAGAGGGAGGGGATATGGGGATGTATGTATACGTATAGCTGATTCACTTTGTTATACAACAGAAACTAACCCAACATTGTAAAGCAATTACACTCCAATAAAGAGATGTTTAAAAAAAATTATTTTTAGCCCAGCAATGTGCTACATTTACATAAGATGCACAGAAAATGTGATCCTAGCCCCATACAAATTCAAAACCTAGTGAAGGAGACACAACTGACATACATGAAATAATGAAAAGACTAACAATGTGCTCTACCATGATGAGCCAAGCATAAAAGGAATCCAAATAAGGGGAGGACTGCAAGTATAAGGGGTCAAGGCTGCAGTGGGAGGAGATGTGATTTTAACAGAACAATGAACTTGAACAATGAACTGAATTTAGATGTAAAGAAGGGATGCAGAAGAACAGCTCAGTAGGAAGAAATAGTATGACAAAAGGTCCTTTGACAAATATTTCTTTTCTAAATGTTTTACCAACCTAGTCAAATAGATCCTCCAAAATCATTTATTAAATTTCTTAAATAAAATGTGTTCATTTTTCCAAATTTTTTTCCCAAATTATTATACCAAGTAACAATAAATCTGAATCCTTTTTAACTGTCTCAAGTCAACGAAATCTTGATTCATATTGTCAAATACTTTACTCACGCTGCTCAACACTAAGACTGTTTTAGTAGAACCCAATACCATGGAAAAAAAAATCGCACATTCAAAATTTTTTTACTACATCAAAATTTTTTGATAAAACATATTCACAGCTTCCATCTGTATACTTGAGAAAAATAAGATAAAATGTTATAGATATCACAGCAATGCAAACATGTAGTAGACAAACCATGGTTAGGAAATTTGGGGCAATAAAAATACCTGTTCTAAAATAAAAGATATTGTTTCAAGAACTAGGTGAAGATCTTGTCTCTCCAGAGAAAATGCAGCTTGAAGTTTTTCTTCCTCTTCTTCACTGAAACTATTCTCAGCCTACAACACAGAAAGCAACCTATTAGCATACACTCAGGTATTCAAAACTCAGACACTCAACAGAGGATTCATTTATTCATATGACAATGAGAACTTGAAAGAAAGAAAGTGAATCCATCCCAGAAAGAAACTGATGTGTCTCTAAATTTCAATATCTTAAAATCATAGTACAGTTCATTACCTGGCTCTTGCCAAATAAATTTCATTAAAAAAACCCAGTATTTTCAATTCTATGATGTATAGGAGGTGGAAAATCATGGTAAATAACATAAACGATGGACATTTAACATATACACTAATATGTATAAAATGGATAACTAAAAAGAACCTGCTGTATAAAAATTTTTTTTTTTAAAAATGGACATTTAGAGAAAACAATACTGCAAGGTAAAACCCCAAAATGTTAACAATAATTAATAGTAATCTCCATCTTTACTCACAACATTATAATCAACTATATTCCAGTATAAAATAAAAACTGATAAAGAAAATTAAAAAAACATTGGGGGGGGGAACACCTTCTCTGTAATAATACTATCCAATTATAATGGGCCCCAGAAACTCTTCTAAGAGCCCAAAGCAAAATCTCCATTTAAGAGAACAGCATTTTAAGACAGAAAATACCTGGGGGCTCCTTTCCTTTGGTAGCTCTTTCCTCCCCCCAACTCACCCCAAAACCTCTGCCAGTATATAACCTTACCTAGCCCTAAGCCCCTGCAGGCATTTAATAAGAGGGAGCCTACCCTGGAAGCATTAAACAGATAACAACCGTTAACCTTGGGAACCTTATCTACATCCTCCATTACCTAGCACCAGGATTCCCATCAGATAGAGAGGTGGCAACTAGTTTAACCCTTAGGATTATTTTATTAAAAGTCAATGGGTTATGGGATGCAGCAAAAGCAATTCTTAAAGGGAAATTTACAGTGATACAGGCTTTAAGAAACAAAAAACATCTCAAACAATCTAACCCACCACCTAAAAGAATTAGAAAAAGAAAAACAAACAAAACCTAAATCCAGAAGAAGGAGCTAATAAAGGTCAGAGAGGAGATAAATATAATAGAGATGAAAAAAAAATAGAAAAAAAATCAATAAAACCAAGAGCTGGTTCTTTGAAAGGGTAAACAAAATTGACAAACCTCTGGCCAGGCTCACTAAGAAGAAAAGAGAGAAGACCCAAATAAACAAAATAAGAAATGAAAGAGGAGAAATCACAACTGATACTGCAGAAGTACAAAAAATATATATATATATTAAAATATATATATATATACACACACACACACATATATATATATATTTACTGAGTACTTATTATGTGCTACATAGATAGTTTATGTCCTCAGGAGTACTATCCTCTAGTTAGAAAGACAAATTAAAAACAAATAATTGTTCCAATAACTTCCCTTTTTAATGAGTTCTGCAAAAGTATGGATTATTATAAGAGCATATATAAAGCAAGAAATTAAGTCTTTTTGATAATTTTAATATTTTCTAAAACTTACACATTACTTTTATAAGCAATATATGAAAGAAAGAAGTTAGCCATCTGAGTATAAGTTCTGGCCAGTCTCCTTTCTTTCACTTCCAAAATAATCTCCTTGATCTAAAGACTGGTTTTTCAAGTATGAAAAATATACACTATTAGAACTGCTTTCAAATAAAAATACTTTATCCACACATACCAAAAACAACTTTCCCTGTTGCTGCCTCTCCCCAACAGCTACATGGAGAAGTTTCAGAAGTCCATGCCTTAACAGCTTAGGATGAGGTACAGCTTTACAGTTGCTCAAGGGAAGCAGCGTTAGAACTCTAAGCTGGCGTACTTTTGGTTTGGGGAGGCTAGTCACCAGAACTCCCAGTATCTACTACCTGTTTTATGACTGAGAAAAGCATGAACCCAATTTGGCCAAAATGCCAATCACTTACCTCAAGAGCAATGTTTTGATTTTAAAGTTCCAGAATTTCTGTGACTACCATACACCTTCTTGAAATAATGACCTACAGTACCAGACTTTATCAATATGAGGAAGAGAATAACAGTATTACTCATGTACAATCAAGGAACCACATGTTGCATTAAATTCAATGGATATGTACAATTTAACTTCCAAGTTTGTCAATCTGATTCCTTTAAATATACACCAAGTGAGATATTTTGACAAAATAAAAATAGTGATTGAGCACGTAGAAAAATAAACTTCAGTGTCCTCAATATGTACAAGAAAATGAGACTTTTTTTTTAAGATTTTTTTTTTTTGATGTGGACCATTTTTAAAGTCTTTATTGAATTTGTTACAATACTGCTTCTGCTTTATGTTTTGGTTTTTTGGCCACGAGGCATGTGGGATCTTAGCTCCCCGACCAGGGATCGAACCCACTTCCCCTGCATTGGAAGGCAGATTCTTAACCACTGGACCGCCAGGGAAGTCCCGAGACATTTTTAAAAAGAGCAAGAAAAGGGACATTCTCAAGATCTTCAAGGGCATCATATTAATAAAGTGGTTTGGAGTGAAGGGGGACAAGGGAACATGTATCGCCCCCCATCCACTGGTACATGAAACGTGCACCCTTAAAATAAGGTGGCACTTAAAATATGTGAGCAGAACAACAAATGGAGAATAAAATACAGCCATGAAACAAAGTTCCAAATCCATAGTCAATATCTTGCTCCAGCAACGACCCTGGGTAGATCAATATTAAATGTAAGTCACTCTATTTGCTTCCAGACAGCAGCAAGTTAACTTCTTCCTAGGTACCAAAAGTAACCCACACGTATTTCGGTGTTGAAGAGAAAGTAAAGGAGATATATTCGTTTTTACCCTCTCAGTGGGAGAAATTTAAGGCCCACGTTTATAAAATTAGAGAGCAAGTGTCCAAGAAACTTAAATTTTTTGGGTTTTTTTGTGGTACGCAGGCCTCTCACTGTTGTGGCCTCTCCCGTTGAGGAGCACAGGCTCCGGACCCGCAGGCTCAGCGGCCATGGCTCACGGGCCCAGCCGCTCCGCGGCATGTGGGATCTTCCCGAACCAGGGCACGAACACGTGTCCCCTGCATCGGCAGACAGACCCTCAATCACTGTGCCACCAGGGAAGCCCAAAACTTAAATTTTAAATGGAAAATGGATGTTAATGTTTTCTATATATTTAAAAAGCATATGCCATAAACATATATACACAGGCAGAAAGGAAAAACAGTATTTAAAAAGAATAACTGCTGTATGGCTTGACATGGAAAGATATTTGATACAAGTGATAAGTGAAAAAGGTAAACAGTATAATGCCACTTATGAACGCATTTATATAAAAACCAAAAATTTCTATTTATATATGCGTGCACATATGTTTGCACATCTGTATTTATTAATACTTGAAAAAAAGACCTGAAAAGATGAAAACCAAAGCGACAACAAAGACTCCTTCTAGGGAGGTGTGGTGGTTTTATCATATCTGAAAATTCTTTTAACACTCCTCTGTTCAAAAGATGGAGCCTAATTTCCTCTCCCCTGAATAGAGCCAGACTTACTGACTTACTTCTAACCAGTACAATATAGTAAAAGTGAAGGTATGTGATATCCAAGCCTAGGTCATGAAAAGGACAGCACCTCCCTCTCTTGGACCACTCATTCTGGAAGAAGACAACTTCCATGTCAGGAGCAAAGGCCCATGTGACAAGGAACTAACTGGTGCCACCATCTAGCCATGTTAGAAGGAAATCCTCTACCCCAGTCAAAACTTCAGGTACCAGCTGCCCCAACCAACATCTGAGAGCAGTTTCAAGAGAACCCCAAGCCAGGACCACCCAGCCAAGCCAAATTCATGCTTACAGGAAGGGTGAGAGATGATAAATGTTTATTGTTGGTTTAATCTGCTAAATTTGGGGGAAATTTGCAATTCAGCAATAGATAACTCACACAGGAGAGAATCAAGATGGAGGAAGGGGCAAGAGTTAGCCAAGGGGGGCATTTCAGTTCGTCCACATTGTTTAAATGTCTTAAAACAAAAACTTCCTCATAAACTATTTGTGAAATTTAAAATGTAACTGAAACACTTCACTTAAGCACTCTATTTTGAACTTTAAGGGCACAAAAAAAGAACAAATCAAAAAATCCATTCTTCCAACTTTTTCTTTTTTTGAAGAGTTTATTTTCTTAACATACACGATGAGTGAACTCATCTTAATTCCACATATAGTTGAAATCAGGTCACATTCCTCAGAAAGTTATACGGATCTTCTATTCTATGAAGACAGTATACTATCTAAATAATTATGAAGGCAATTAGGTTTTAAAAACTCAGAGCACGGCTTTAGAGACAAGAGAGGCCTGTGGTCCAGAATCCAAGCTCTGACTCACATACACAGGCATACACACACACCAACACCACAATGGAAGAACACATGGTCCTAGTAGTCTGCATATGCCATAATTTAAAATGTACGTATATATCATTTTAACCTAATAAACTAAGTTGTAAGAAGCCCTCCAGCTTATATTAAGTACAAAATAAATGCATTTTCAGAGATAAGCTACTCTTTTCTTTTTTTGTCCACATAGGTGAGGCCAATTCTTCTTTGAACAGGACCGTGCTGCACATCGTTAGGACATTTAAAGTCCCAGGGCATTAAATGCCAGCAAAACCCTCCATACACTGTAACAACAACAACAACAAACTCCTCAGGCATTTCTGTATGCTGGGGTTTACATCTGTGACTGTCCTTTATATTAATATAATGAGACTTCTCTATCTGTCATACTGAGGAAATATGTTGGTACCCGCAAGTCAATCTATCAAATAAAAGAACTTTTATTTTAAACTTTTAAAAGCTATCTTTCTGAAATGTACGGCACCCATTCTAGACTTCTGTAAACGAAGTATATTGGATTACACTAGATTCTTGCAATAAGTCAGATCATAATTATGAGCATCCAAGTTCCATGCTGCAGTTAGTTTCCTAAAGAACTGCTAAGATACACTGATGATTTTTCACTTCAGAAAAAACCCTCAGATTTCTTTGCTTTTGTATTTCTCGTGTCTGATTTTCATAATTCTTCCATTTCAATCTATACTCAGCAGTTAATTCTTACAACTGCCTACATGCCCCATCACAGGAGCACCTTCACCCCCCAGTTTGCTGTTGCTAGTCGGCCATGGCCAGAAATCCAGACACCTCATCTTGCAGAACTAGACATATAACAGAGTAACATCAATAGGCTTTGTGGGAGGGCCTAAGAGTCTCTGGAGCAAGGTATATGAGGGGTTTTTTTTAATTGCATGAGTTGTGACAGCTATTTCAAAAACGTAGAGGCCACAAATGTTTGTTTTTAAGTTCACAGATAAGGAAGTTACTCTGATCTCCTTCAGTGTTTCTCAAGGCAGACTCTATTAGCATGCAGGATGAGACAATTCTTTGTACAGGACTGTCCTACTCAACTGCAAGACATTTAGAGGTGCACATATACAATGGAATATTACTCAGCCATTAAAAAGAACGAAATAATGCCATGTGCAGCAACATGGATGGACCTAGAGATTGTCAAACTGAGTGAAGTAAGTCAGACAGAGAAAGGCAAGTATCAAATGATATCGCTTATATGCGGAATCTAAAAAAAAGATATAAATGAACTTATTTACAAAACAGAAACAGACTCGCAGACTTAGAAAACGAACTTATGGCTACCAGGGGGGAAGGTATAGTTAGGGAGGTTGGGATTGACACGTACACACTCCTATACTTAAAATGGATAACGAACAAGGGCCTACTGTACAGCACAGGGAACTCTGCTCAATATTATGTAACAACCTAAATGGGAAAAGAATTTGAAAAACAACAGATCTGTATATACGTATAACTGAATCACTCTGCTGTACATATGAAACTAACACAATGTTGTTAATCAACTATACTCCAATATAATATAAAAAGTTAAAAAAAACAAACTTCCTGGGCATTAAAGGCCACCAGCACCCTCCACACATTGGTAACAAACCACCCAAAATTCCCAAGTATTCCTATATGCCACGATTGCTCAGGAATAGATGCTCAGACCCATACTTAGGCGTGCCCACATTCTATACCTAAGCTTATTTTCCCCATGTTCATTTCTACTAGAGATTTCAAGGAACCAGTCTGGACAAAAACAGATACCCTCTGCCCACAATCCCATTTTACCAAGATCAAACTTGGTAAAATCAAAGTGTCAAGCTGATAACATTAAGAATAGCAACCAGATCCCTAAACCTCTTCACCAACTTACCTGCATGCGGTTTCACTGCTCTCAGGACTCTGCTTGTCCCAAGGCAAAGGCCAACCTGACAGACCAAGAGTACATAAAAGAAAGCTGGCAGATCTGAGATGTCACTGCCAACTCTTTGGTAAGAGCCCTTATCACAACTGGAGTCCCTCTGGAAGAACATTCCCTAAAACTGTCCGGGCGGGTTGGGGGAGTGGGGGTGGGTTGCCCCTTTCCTGACTTTCTCTCCTGACTTTCTGCAGGCAAGTAATCAAATACAGATGTTTCTGTCCTCAGCTGCTTCAGCTCTCAACAACCACACCTTCTCACCTCCACGCCCCACCTCTGAAGGCACAGCATCCAAACGCCTCTGTGGAATGCTTTGGCCATTCAGTTACTCTAAGATAGATGTTAATGTTTTCTCAACTCCAGAGGGTCAAAGACAAACTCCAGAGGGTCACGAGTTTCCTGCAGATGTTCCATCCTCCCTCAGTATGAAGAACAAAAGATGTATATAAGTGTTTTGTGTCCCATATCACTTTGTATGTGTTTAAGAAGGCAGCCACCCACAACACTGTAAATCAACTATACTTCAACTGAAAAATACAATAAAATAAATAAAATAAAAAAGAAGGCAGCCACCAACTCAGACAATCGAAACTCTGTATCAACTGCCTGCATCATTCACTTTGGGACTGATTTATATACCGTTTCACACTCTTTCCTGAGCTTTACTGTAATGGGTCAGAGGGATGGATTCTGGAGCCAGACTGCCTTACTAGCTAGCTGTGTGACCTTGGGCAAATTACTTAACTGGTCTCTATCTCAGTTTCTTCATGGATAAAATAAGGATGACAACAGTTCTTACTTCCTAAGGGTGCTGTGAGGATCAGATGAGTTAATACCACAAAGCCATTAGAACAGCACCGGTCACAGAGGGGGTAATGGAACTGTGAATAGCAAACACCACAGAATGTAGCTGCTATTGTTATTGTGGTTGTTCCTCCTGTTTCTCCTTCTACATCACAAATTCCTTATAGGCAGGAATTCAGAGAACCTATATTCATTTTGTGTTTCCCATGGCAAGGAAGAGAATGAACTCTAAGAATAGCTATTGAGTGCCAACTGCATAACTATCAATGTATCAAGTATGGGAAATATAAAGATGAGTAAGACATGATACTTAAAGTATTCAAGGTCAGAGAAAGACCCTGTAATCATGAAACAAATACTTATGATGTAGTACTAAAGTGAGGTGAGGACGAACCAAGTGTTTTAGAAGCAAAGAAGAGAGGATGAGCTGCTGAGAGTAGGACTGTCAAATCCTTGAAAGATGAATAGTTTATTCACTAAAGAAGGGAAGATATTTCAGGTAAGGGAAAGAGTATATTACACAGACACCAAGTCGGAAAAGTTCACAGTACGTTCCAGTAGAAGAGCATCCAGGGTAGCTGAAACACTTGCAAAGTGGGGAAAACACAGACTGTACCTATATTGTAACGTTATTATAATACAATGTTAAGGAATATGAACTTTTTCCCATGAGCAATGGAAAGTCATTGATGGCTTTGAACACTGTAAAGATATGATCAACTATTTTTTTTTTTTTAGGAAAAAAATATTTGGAAAGATAAATGGAACAGCACCATGAAGAAGTGATAAGAAGGTAGAAGACTATAGACAGCGGTACCAGTTTGAAGGTAACTGTTGTAGTCCAAGGGAGAAATAATAAGGCTCTGAACTCAGATTACGAAGAGAACTTGGATTTGAGAGATACTTCAGAGGGAGAAAGGGCAGGGCTTTGGGACTGGTCTCTGGCCAGGAAAAAGAAGAGGTGAGAGTCTGGGTTCTCATTTAATGGTGATACTTTGCACCAGGCAGAGCAGTTAATGGGCACTCCTTAAACACATGTTGAATGGAATTAAATTTTATTAACCTGGTAAAGAAGTTAACTAAGTAATGTTAGCAAGTTAACCAAGTAATGAATTACTAAGCATCAATATATCCAAGATAACCACACTCTTAAAATAAAAGTGGAAGAGAAAGGTTAAATGAAAAATTACATACAGTTGATAGCAACACTACAGAGTTATTTTTAAGACAAAGAATGAAATCATGATATCAGAATTGTCCCAAAGCGTGTTCCACAGAGCCTTGGTCCCAAAATAAATACCATGATAAAACAGTTCCCTGGTCAAACACAGCTGGAAAATTTTGCACACAACATTCACGCTTAAATATTTACTATTAACACTGCCATAAAATATACTCTGAAAAGTTCCATGATTTAAAAAAATTAATTTCAATGAAGACAGAAGTTCCCAAACTTTTGACCGTGGGATATTATCAAATTTTCTAGAGACCCGGTGTTCCTGAGGACCTGCTGGAGAACAATACCTCGCAAAAGGTACTTCAAGTAGAAACCTAGAGTTGCAGTAGAATCACAAGAATATATTATAATCTATAGAAGTGCAAACATACAAACCTTCAGGTGAAGTTTTTGAAGAATTCGGGTGAGCAATCGTGGAAATCTTCCTATATCTATTTCATTTATCAGCGACACTGCTTTTTTCATGCTAAATAAATTCATAAAACAAAGTTTTAAAATGAGTTTTCCCCAAGTGGTACTGTAGTTACTGTAAGTACAGCTGTCTGTAAGTTTTCATTTCGACAACTCTGCTTGCTACAAGGTTAAGTCTGAGTAAAATAAAGAAAAACAGATGATGGCCAGCAAAGGCAGGATGTTTCCAAAAGATACCCCCAAAAGTATATCTGTTGAAAAGGTCTATCTGGCAAATTTTCTCTTTCTCCTGGGCAAGGCAAACGACTAGGAGAAGCCTGCACTCTGTGGGGAATGGTATTAATTTAGGAGTGAAAGTTTATGTATCCACTTAACTCAAAACAGAACTTTGAGAAGAGTGGGAGGAGGGAATTGGCAATTACACCAAAAACAGAAAGAAAAGACTGCTGCGTGGCAGGTAATGGAATAAAAAAAAAAAAAAAACTACATACAATATCATTTGGCGTCACTAAGTACACAGCTGTTTTAAAACCCTGTTTCAATTGTAATAATCAACTTAAATTATGTGATAAGAACAATTCTGCTGCACCACGTTGAATATGGTTTACTGATGTGATGTGTTACCCAGGACATTGGTGTGAGAAAAGGAACTGGCTGTCAGGACTCAAGTAATCAAAAAAGGAAAAACTTCAAAATGACAACTCTCTTCTTCAAAAAGACTCCTGTCCAATCTAGACACAAAGTTATTCTCCAGCCTCAATTATTTGCCTGTATACTTCCGCACTTTTCTGCATCCACACACCACCTGCACTATTATTTTTCATTAAATGGAGTCACTTTTACTTAAATAATTTTATTTTAAAACATAACTACCTCACCACCATAAACAGCCGACCTTACTTACCTACCATAAATAGAAATGAACTAAATAAACAAATGAACTCAAAAGAAATCAAATGAAAACAAAAGCAATGTTACTAAATTCTGGCTAGATACTGTTACAAGCCAAAACTCCTGGCCTGAGGCCTAGTCTATCTTGATTGAAAAGGTATATTAACGCGTGTTAAGTATTAAAGACCATCCGGGACCAATGGGAGACTTTCTCATAATCAGGAGGTCTGAAAGAGAACTGAAAACGGAAACGGAATACCTTTCCACGTGATTTCAGTGTTACTCCAGGCTGGCTTGGGTACCTGCGATACAGCCTCGGGGAACGGTGACACTGACCACACGCTGTCGTACTGACCTCAGCTGCCCAGGCCCACTGTAAGTCCACGCAGGTGAACTACCATGCAGGTGGAGGCACCCGCAGTCTCGCGCAATCCCGCGGGGCCCGCACTGCGACTCCGCCAGACCCGCGCCCGCCCCTCCGGACACCCGCGGCCCCGCACCGGCCCCTCCGCCCCGGCCCCCCACCCGCGCCTCGGCGACAGACAGCAGCAGCATCCTTACGCCTGCCCTGTCCGCGCTGCCCCCGTGCTCAGCCGGGGCTACCTGGGGCTCTCCCGCAGAATCAGCGCCGCGGACGCCGCCATCCTCGAAGCTCCCTGGCCCCGCCGCCAGGATCAGCTGCCTGGAGTCCAACCAATGGCGGCGGCAGCGGCGGACGGCAAGCCGGAAGGCTCAAGCCACGCAGGGGCCGCGCCGCTCCGGTCCTGCGATCCTGGAGGGGCGAAGGGGCGTCCCCGTCGTCCTCCCCGCCACTCCCGCCGTTCCGAGTTAAGGCTGTACATATATTAATTTATTTATATGTACATATTTGCCTATTTTATATATATACGCATACCTGGATATGGTGTGGCTATTTTTATGTATTATGTAGGTAGTGTGTGTGTATAAACATATACATTTACGCGTACGTACATATACACATACTTTTTTTTGGAAGAAAAAGTTTAAGCATTGTCCGCGGTGTCTGGCCCGCGCTGCAAATGGGCGGGCGGTGGAACGCGCTCCCCGAAGGAGCCCAGGGCCAGCTCCACCCTGTGCCCTGCGCCACCAGCCCTTCCTGTATCTACATCCCTGGAGCTCTGCAGTGCCCCCACGCGGAGCCTGGGCTCTTTGTACTCTTATTCGTTCAGTAGTGTTCTTTGAGCACCTACTGTGTGCCAGGCACTGTGCTAGACACTCGGGATACAAAAGACCAAAATTCCTGCTCTTGAGGTTTGCCAGCAGGTAAATGGGCAAATGTTCGTTGTGCCTTTCTTTGTGGTCGGGCACTGAGCTAGGTACTGCGGAGTAGAGGAGATGAATTGCCGCAGAAACTGCGATTAAGGACATCTCAGGAGAATAGAGAGACAACGCGGGTTCAGGAATACCTTTGTCTCACTTAGAGAAAAACATGTAGTGCATTAAGGGGATTCAGAGCTGGGAACAGTGATAAGGCATCCGAGGTTGGATCAGAAAAAACTTCCTGGGACAGGTGGCATGAAGAAGCCTTGAATGATAGGTTGTGGCATGTACATTTAGTCTGGTGAGAAATGGGGAGCCATTAAATGTTTTCAAGCAAAGAAATTTTTGTGAGAACTGTGTTTGTTTGTTTGTTGAAGATTACTGTAAGCAGAATGATTATTGGATGGGAAAGAGGTAAGCAGGAAAGCCAGATAGGGAGCTATTGCAATAATCTATGGAAAGCAACAAAATCCTTGGTAGTAAAATGGCATTGGAGAATGAAAAGATAGTGGATGAATTAGAGTTACATTTCAGCTGTAGAATCTTCAGGAGCTGAGAAAAGATTGGATTTAATTTTCGTACCCAATTATGTTTTACTTAAATTATTATTTACATTAGTTGGCATTCCTAGAGCAGCCCTGAAACATCCTAACTGAAGGAAGCCAGATTGCAAATTAAAAGTGAATAATCCCCACATGGATAATTGAGTCAATTATACAGTGTATTGAACACATACAAATACATATGGTTCGACAACACACATTTCCCAATTTGTGCAGCATCTGAAAAAAATGTGTGTGGATCTACATAAATTATAGGTGTCTGATACAAACACAGATTACCTTACCTGGCACATTAATAGAGTCCCAGTTCACTCAACTTTTGAATCATTTCCCTTTTGTCTTGATTCATTGCCTGAAGTAGAGCCACTAACCAGGTAAAACTATTTTGAATCTCTAGGAGGAGGAGGTGAAGTTTACCTCCTCTTCAGTTCCCTTCAAAACTATAGCTGGGATTTTGAGCCAAAGAACCTCAGGGTGGTTTGAGCCCTGAATCTGTGTAACCTGGAACAAAGCACTCTACTTCACCAAGTTTCCTCTTACTGATCTGCAAAATGGAGGTGAGAATAATGTCTGCTCCCCTGGGCTGTGGTGAGAATTAAACAGCCTGATGTGTATATGCAAGAATCGCTCTACCTTCCCTTATCTTTATAAGCACAGACTTCCAAGATTTTAGCAAAACTGTGTCCAGTGGACACAGAGGGCCTCTCACTATATTTCTCTTCATTTTCACTGACGGGGTGATCACTTTTTTTATATATAAATTTATTTATTTATTTATTTTTGGCTGTGTTGCGGTCTTCGTTGCTGCGCACTGGCTTTCTCTAGTTGCGGCGAGCCGGGGCTACTCTTCGTTGCGGTGCGCGGGCTTCTCATTGCGGTGGCTTCTTTCATTGTGGAGCACGGGCTCTAGGCGTGCGGGCCTCAGTAGTTGCGGCACGCGGGCTCAGTAGCTGTGGCTCACGGGCTCTACAGCACAGGCTCAGTAGTTGTGGTGCACAGTCTTCGTTGCTCCGCGGCATGTGGGATCTTCCCGGACCTGGGCTCGAACCCGTGTCCCCTGCATTGGTAGATGGATTTTCAACCACTGCACCACCAGGGAAGCCCTGGGGTGATCACTTCTTATTACTACTTTTCCCTATAAAGGTTTGATGCAGTGAATAATTTCAACCCCTAAATGAGACTATTACCCCAAATATTTCTGTAGTCTCTGGAGTATACCTATCCAAAGCTACAAGTCATCGTAGTTGTCTTCCTGTTGCCACCTGCTGGAGGGCAGGAAATGTACCTCCTGGAGGCATAATTCCATAAGCACACTTTACTCCTACCCCCCAACTTGTCAACCCATCTTTATGATAGATCCAGAGCCCAGATCTGTTGCCCCTGATCTATTAGGGCTACTAAACATGCTCAGTGCACTGAAATTTCTTCCATACCCTTGCCTTTATTGCAAACTTCTGCCAAATTCACCTTTTTTTATATTCTGTGTTAGCCTGGGTTCTCTAGAAAACAACCTGAGTTGCATGCTGGTGTTTCATTGGGGGCTGTAATTGTAGGGAAGTAGGAGTGAGGGCAAAGGGAAGGAAAGGAGGAATGAAGGGAGGAGGAAAGCAAATAAAAGGTGGCATGTTATCCAAATTGTTACAGCTTCAAAACCCAGCTTATTTCTCAGAGAGACTATTTCAAGTTGCTGTATCTTGCAACAGCAAAGAGATAGCAATAGGGGGGAAATTTTTGTCTGTAAACTCTTTCCAATCTGCTGTCTTTTTTTGGTCCAAATTTGTCCTATGGTTCACACCTCCCCTGAACTCCTGGGGTATGTCAACTGGCACCTCTAGGCAGCCACTGGAAAATCCAGAGCTTCCAGGAGTCGGGTAGAGTAGGAACTGAGTCTGGAGCTGTTAAAAAGAGCCCTCAGCTCAATCCCTGCCAACACCCACCTCAGATGTCTCCTCCCCAATCCCTGCCCCACCAAGGCTGGCAGCAAGTGACAGGAGATTTAAGACCACGGGAATAATTCAGCATTCCCAGGGCTCACTTTACTGGGAAAGTCAAGCAACGGGCTGAAGCCTGGGATGCAGTGGGGTGAGCATATCTGGGGAGGTACATAGCCTGAAGACAGTTTTACTCCTAAAGTGGAATTTCAGCACAAGAATTGCTTGGGCCATGAGTGCTTCAGCTCTTAATTGATGGAGCTTTTTCAAGTCACGTGTGCCTAGTTGTTTTACCAAAGTCTATCATAACACAGGTTGGAGTGAGGTTGGTGACCACCCTCCCCTCTGTCTTTAGAGCTAGGTGTGAACTTTGTCCCATTTGGAGCACCTCCTTTTTGTGTTTTTTTTTTTTTAAGTTTGTTGTTGTTGTTTTTTGATATGGACCACTTTTAAAGTCTTTATTGAATTCCTTACAATATTGTTTCTGTTTTATGTTTTGGATTTTTGGCCGCGAGGTATGTGGGATCTTACCTCCCCAGTCAGGGATCGAACCCGCAACCCCTGCATTGAAAGGCGAAGTCATATCCACTGGACTGCCAGGAAAGTCCCTGGAGCCCCTCCTTTTTGATGGGTTCCTTCCCAAGGGCCCCATGGCAGTATCCAGCAATGTGGCCTCAGTCTGCACCCGCCTTCTCCCTACTAGGCATGATTTATATCTTTAACACTCAATGAAGTAGAGCCAAAGTCTGGGCCTATTTTTTCCAGAAGTCTTCTCCAACGCTTAAGAAAACCCTGGGTACATCAAGGAACCCAGCCCAAATCCATTCCTCAACATTCCAGCCACAAATGTAAATGATTATCTTTGGAGGAAAGGTAACACCTACTCAGCCATCAGAATGCTATCTGAGCCCCAGGAACCTAGTCCAGCTGAAATGACCTTTTAAGTAAGCTCTTGATATATACTGTCAAATTGGGGGGTTGGGGGGGCCGGGTGTAAAGGATTTTATTACATACCCAGATTATTCTGGCAATGGGTTAGCTAAGTGTCTGGCCCAGGACCCTAACACTATGAAAGTCTGCAGTCCTACAAGTCACCTTGAGTTTCTCAGGTAAGCTATCAAAGATAGTTTAGAGTCACATCAGGGCAGAGGCCTAGAACTGCCTGCCACTCATGGCCTATACCCAGATGACTGGCAAATACAAAAGTCACATTCAGCTGCTTTGTCACACTTGCTTGCAGAAGCCATTGGCCCAGTTTTCCTCCTTCCCTCCACCTCCCGGTCTCCACACCAGCATCAGTCACACTCTCCAGCCCTGTTTTTAGCTCTGTTGTCAGCACTTACCTCATAAGTGTGAGTGAATCAGCTGGGATGTAACTGAAGAACAGCCTTCTACGTGGTAAACATGTAATTGTTCCACATTTTCTCCCCAGATTCTCAGGGGAATGAAGTTTTAAAATCACATATTCTAATTTAAGAGTTGGTTATGTGAATGTTCCTGTTTAATGTGAGATACATTAGGAATCAAGAAAACATAAACATAAAGTCTTCTCTGAGTATTTGCATACCAGGCTGTGATGTGGAAAGGAAGCAAGAAGCTTAGAAAAAAAGAAAAGAAGGAATGGTATCAAGGGTGCAG